GGAAAAGCTACAGAAGAAGATAGGAGAGTAAAGTATTGTTACGACAGCGGAAGTCACGTGACGCTGGTAACACTTAATGAGTATCTCGAACGTTCCTGACGGCTCGAGTGTTTGCTAGATGCCCTCTATTTTGTATGTATAAGATCGGTGAGAAGTAACAGCATAAATAGTTGAATTGCAGATAGGCAGAGATAGAGACAGACAATTGAGTCAAGCGCGGTAGTAAGTAAAGTGCATGAATCGTCGTTGTGAATTATAGCATGTGTTTAAGTTAAAGTGGCTGTGGAAATTAAGTGTATTGTAAAGTTGAATTGAGAAAGAATAAACTAGTTTTATTTAAGAAAGAACTTGTATCGCTGAAGTTTCTCGGAAAGAATTTCTATGAAAAATTAACAATTAATAACAATATTAATTGTAAATTAATAACAATATTAAGTTGTCAAGAAATTAATGTTGCTTTTTTTAGATTAAAAAACCCGAACAACTTGTATATCAAGACAAACAATTTATTAAATGAAATAGTCTCCATCTAGTCTTATCGATGATGCTTTTCCATCTTACAATCAGGTTGTTTATGTCCTGATTAAAGAAATCACTTAGTTTTGAAGCAAAAAATCCTCTTTAACACCTTCCACATTTGCATACGTTTTCCCATTAAGATGGTGTTGCAGCAAATGAAAAAGATGCTAATCTGATGGTGCCATATCTGGAGTATATGGTGGATGAGGGAGAACTTCCCAACCCAACTCCATAATCTTGTGTTGCATCAAACGTGCCACATGTGGATGCGTATTTCGTGGAGAAGAAGAACACCTTTCCAATTGACAAGTGAAGGGCTTGTTTTAAATTTTCCAGTTGCTAACTGTAGATCTCTGCATTGACAGTTCGCTGTAGATTGAGGAGTTTGAAATAAATCACTCCTTTGATGTCCCACCCAATGCAAAGCATCATGTTCTGCAGATGGAGTCCAGGTTTTGGGGTCAGAAGTGTAGGACTGAGCCATTGTTTTTCATGTTTAGTATTCTCATAGAGAATCCATTTTTCATCACCGGTGAAAATTCTGTCCAAAAATGGTTCACGAGCATTACGTGCCAGAAGAAACGAAGCAACATTCACACGTTGGAAATGATGATCATCTGAGAGTTTGTGAGGCACCTAAATACCTTCTTTATGGAGTTTTCCCATATTCCTTCGATGATTATGTATTGTTTCATGAGAGACATGAAATTTCAGGGCCATTTCACAAGTGTGTTGCCTTGGGTTAGATTAAACAAGCATCTTCAGAGCATCAATATGAATTCCAACATGTTGGTTCCTGCCATCACAATTTTTAAAGCTAAAGTCACCTGAACAGAATTTGCTGAATCATTGTTCAAAACATTTCCATAAACTTCTTTGATATTCTTTGTGGGTACAGAGGCATTGTTCCCTTCTTGTATTCAAACAGCATTACATGCCAAAAGTGTGTCTCATCATGTGCCATCACTATAAGGGATTAGAGTATACTAAACTTTAAACATTATAGCTACACTTATGTGACTTTAGGTAGTTTGTTTAACTATTATATGTGATGTACGTTTTTTTTTGGGGGGGGGTAATGAAAGTGTTCCAAAACATGACATTAATTTCTTGACGACTTAATACTTCAGGGGATGTTGTTTAGTATCATGTGAGAGATTTATGAATAAATCAGGCAGTATAATGCTTTAAGGGCTGTAGCTTAGTATCATGTGAGGGGTTTGTGATTACATCAGGCAGTATAATGCTTTAAGGGCTGTAGCTTAGTATCATGTGAGGGGTTTGTGATTACATCAGGCAGTATAATGCTTTAAGGGCTGTAGCTTAGTATCATGTGAGGGGTTTGTGATTAAATCAGGCAGTATAATGCTTTAAGGGCTGTAGCTTAGTATCATGTGAGAGACTTGTGATTAAATCAGGCAATATAATGCTTTAAGGGCTGTAGCTTAGTATCATGTGAGGGGTTTGTGATTAAATCAGGCAGTATAATGCTTCAGGAGGTACTTAGTAGCTGTTAGATATGTTGGACTGCTTCTGTTTAAATTTAATGTGAGTGCTATGATTTAGATAGTTTATATAGCTTGTGTTAAATTTAGAAGTGATAGTTAATTGCAGGTTTGTTTACTTAACTATTTGCAAATCATTTGTTGTATAGTCCAATAGTTATGAATTGATGATTGTTACTGCATCTTATTATTATTAGAATCTTCTGAGTTTTTCTTCTTGTTTTAATTGAGTATTATTGCATCATAATATCTAGTAGTGTGTAGAACATTCTAGACCTCTGTTGGGGTATAAATATTTTTCAGAAATCCAGATAGATAGATCTAGTCTGCATAATTGTGAGTTTAGCCATAAAGAACTTACAGTGGTAATTTTTAAAGTGAAATTATTACAGACTATATTGTAATAACAGAGCAGAAAATAATAATTTGTCTTGTCGAATTGTGTTCTAAAGTAACTGAACTAGTCTGTGTGGGCTTTGACAAAAAAAAAAGAATTATTTAAAGCTCTGGATACAACTATGATAACCAAAAGAGTAACAAACATTTGTATATATATTTGACTTGTTTTATTATATATTATTTAAAAACAAGTGGACTGTGTGCTGATTTGTATTGTTAAAATGTATTGCCAACAAGTCACAGACACCTA